TATGGTCGAAATTCGGTCGCTCAAAATTTTGTCTATTTTGAAAACAAAAACCACAACTATAAAATAAGCGGTCTTATGGATATTGTAGAGCTTTTCACGCTGCATCTTGTGGTATAATTTGTTGAAAAAAGTTCTCTGAAATTTTTCTATTTATATCGATATGAAAATTGTCGCGAACTTTTTTGCCATACCTTATATGGTCAAGACTTTAGTAATTTAGCATGCTCTGAAATAGTGAGCGCATGTCGTAACGTTGACTTGACTTCATTCATTGCTACGACAACAAAGCTTTCAAAAAAGACTTGTCGTCTTATGAAAAATCTCTACCGAAATTTTCAAATGAATTGATCAAAGTCATCATGGAAAATATGCATCTTAACTAAAAATCGACATGTGCCCTTCAATTGATAGTCTTAAGAAGTCTAATAAAATCCGTACAAGAGATAGCTACGACATTGGACTTTTGAGTAAGGACTCAGACGAAAATATTTATGCCTACATAGTACCCAAAATATGAGCTAAATATTATAAAAAATAATAGCACTACACGGATAAGGATAGCTACTTCTGTCCAAGACTGTAGCTATCCGCTTATAGTAAGTAGACATAATTTCTTCTTACAATACAATTAAAGTAGAGTAGATATATATGTATATGTATTTCTTTAATAATCAAGCAATTCCTAAATTATGTTTGAATAATAGAAACATGGAACAACAATATTTAGATCTTTTCTATTTAATAATCAGCATTAATATGATGCAAAAATCATCTCAATCTAATATGATTTTTTAATTATAATTTTAATGATCTTTTTATTATTATAATTATGAATAAAAATATTACTCCATAATCTGCTAGCACAATTTTAAATCTAGTCATTGAAATATCTCTGCAATATTTATTAGAGTCAATGAACTGTAAGTTTTAAGATGAAGTGATAATAAATCAGTTAGTCGTGAAAAACTATGACACCACCTATGTATTAATAGATTATATTAATACGATTATTTGTCAATTTGTTTGAAGTACAATATTCATTAGTGAAGAAACATAAAGAATCAATAAATTTTAAGAGCAGAAAAGAGAAAAACAGAGATACGAACATCTCTTACATTAGTATAGAGTTTTAATGAAACATATGAGTAATAACTAATGAAAAATTATCAATATTTAGTTTAATAAAATAAAAACTAACTATCAAAACCAATACAGAAAAGTATTGAATAAAGAATGCTTTAGTTAATGATGCTATGTAATAGACAATTTAAAGAGAATTCTTCTGATCAAGATCATCTATTTCTTCATTAAATTGATAAAAAAAAAAAAAAGAATTTCAATATTTTCAAATGGCATATACTAAATGTCAATTCTCAATGATCATGACTTTGAATTATTTTTGCAAACTGAATTTGTATTCTGATACTGATGTTACAGAAAATAATATTAACAAATCATTATCTCAATTATTGTGAAGTGTTACTAGAAAACTTGAATAGTATTAAGTTTGTTTCTTTACGATAATCTGTTAATCATTTTCTTCGGATTACGTGAGCAAAAGAAAGTAATAATAAATAGTCAACTGAAGTAAAATTTTAATTATTTATTATGAATCAAAAAACAAACAAAACATTCTTTATATTCTATTTAAAAAAAACATCACCTTTAGATACTCACACTCATTAAATCTTGTATATCATGTATATCTACAAACATTTTTTAAGTATATAAAATCTTTCTTTTGCAAGGTATGTTGCTTGAATACTATTTTTTTTGTGAGATTATTTTGGTACTTTATTCTCTTATGCGAAATCAAGCAAGCAATTATCAGAAGAAAATTAGCTGATAAAAATAACAAATATATCTTTTCAAAAGTGTTTAAATTAATTTTCCAAAATTAGACAAACAACTTGTAGAAGCCGAGAAACAAATACACAAGTCTGTCAACATATCGGACGTATTTCAATTATATCTCCTTGATTACAGACATGTTTCTTTCATTGAAGACAACAAATGTCCGCATTATGCAAGCAATGGGAAAATAGATATACTAAAAGGAATTAGTGTGCATAAGTTGGTTTTAAGAGTAATTAATCGGACATTTTATAATATTATCGAAGAAATTAGTAATGAAAAACAAAATTTTCTTTAATTAACAGATTACATTCTTCGTGCATATATGAATAAATCGCGCTGGCATTGTAACATTGCATTCTGAATATGAAAATATTAATAACTCAGAATTTTTTTGGTTTGCAGCTGCTTCTAAGTGTTTCTTTCTGACCATATACATCGATCACAGTTTCAGTTTCAATTTACCCTTTAAATTGAGCAAAAACTATCTGTACACACACTTTGACTATTTTACGTTCCAACAGATTAAATTCGATCTACCTGTTCGGAAAATTAAAAAGTCAGAAATCTTTCGATAAAAACAAATTTTCAGGAACCATCTTGGTCGGATAAGAAGCCAAAAGTACGTAGAACAGATAACTGTTTTTCTATCAAATATCCAGATACTATTTCTGATTTTGTTTCATTTCACCTTCTTGGTTTTCAATTGACTCTTCTCAAATGGGAGGTGAACAATATCTAGATAGTCTTTTGAATCTTAATATTTCTCAAAAGAGATTGGATTCTTTTCTGTTATCGATATATCAAGATATTCGATATAACTGATAAGAAGGATCTCGACTATGAACCTAATAAAAATTTGATTATCCTTCATTAATGTTTTTCTTTATGATTTCTTGATTTCAATTTTATAGTATTTCATCATCGATTCGAATTCGAGTAGCAAGAAATCAGAAGTCACTAGTATTCACTCATATTTATCACTAATACCGCCAGTAAATAATATGCATCCTAAACATATATCATCAATACAATATTAAAGTCGCAAGAAAGTTTGAAAAGCAGTAAGGCCAATGACAATATTTCTTTTTCACCAAACATGAAATTATTTTCTCACCCTTCATATTGCAATGTCAAAACGTTGATATACTGTTTAAATCTTTCTAAATATGGAATATACATAAAAAGTAGACAATTTTAAAAATACTTTTGTAACTATCTGAATTACAATAAAATGAGTTTTTAAACATGTCACGAACATTATATGTGCTTTTTCATTGCAGTTGAACATATATTAGAAATTGTTAATGGTTTTGAATTTAGGGTAGATGCGGGTGTAAACAAACTGAAGACTTAAATTCATCCTCTCACATATACTTGGATAACCAAACTCATCATATGGTACTCGTTTCGATTCAAAATAGAAACGAAAATTTTCCTTTTTTGTCAGAGTTCGTTTTAGTCGAGTGTGTCTTGCACACTTTTTTTGAAGATAATGGTAATTCTTAGTCATTACTGATGAATAACAAAAATTTGTCAATAAAATACATCTATGTTAATTTTAATCTTAAAAACTCTTTGAAATATTTTAACAGTTATTCTTCAATGGAAGCTTCATCGATCCAATGGTTTGTATATGCTTATATTATGTTACATAACGGCAGAGAAAATTATATATATTTATTTAAGATTGATCCTTCTATGTTAAAATAAATATCATGTACAATGAACTTAAATCTATCGACGACAGAAATTGATCATATATACACCATTGGATTAACAAAGTCTTTTTTCACAGGCCGAAACATGTTTTGTTGTCGCTTCAAAACTGTCAGTTGTCTTTACTAAATTCTAAATAGTATCTGTTGTTGTGCCACGACTGATGGCTCATGAAAGAACCATTTGAAGGGATTCGTCGCTTTTGACTCCATATTTTATCCATAATTACTGAAATCTCTCCGTAGAGCTCTGGATTTTCAGCAAAAAAGTCATATTTTTGAAAATTTGATATGAAACTTTGCATATATTGAGATCACCACTAGACTAGCTAGTACAAACTAACCTAATAGCGGTCTCGATATGTGTTAAGTTTCATGCCAAATTTCGAAAATATGATTTTGCTGGAAAATCAGAGTCCTACAGGAAGATTTCAGTAAAATTTCTCTATTTCAGTCAAATCATAACATGACTCCATATGATCTTGTACTTTTCGTAATCTATAGTTCTGCTACTTATGGGCAAAATATGGAGTTAAAAGTGACGAATCACTTCGAACGTTTTTTTTGTTAGCCTATCAACTGACGTTTCTAAATACAATATCGTGTGTGTGGTATACTTTTCAATCAACATTGAAATTTGTCGTTCAGAAACATTCATTTCAATTCTTTAGCGCAATAAACTTTTAAATGGTTTGTCTAGTTCTATTTTTAATCATTGTGAAAGAAGAAAAATCAGCAATTATTTCTAAAATTTTCGAATATTATTCTCTTTATGTTTCTGTTTGTTTAACTTGATCACATTTGATGAGATGAATTAATTCATCATCTTTATGATATAGTCGAATTGATTTAAATTCAACTATTTTAATGAAATTAGTTTCTAACGATAAACGATGTATTGAACTAACAAAAATTGAAGAACTACGCATTTGGCGTAGAAAAAAATACAAATTGTCAATTGACTCGTTTTTTTTCATGGAACATCCGGAATGTCAATTATGAAAAATGTTGAAGAAATTTTTTTTATGAAAAATATCTTTGGTATATATATATATACATTAATTATTTTTCTAGAAATAGTTATAATGTACACGTATCTCATTGAGGTAGAATTACTTTTCCAATGCTCACAAAATAGGTGTGAGAAAAGAGCGATATAATGTCGCCTAGAGAATGTTTGTGAAACAGGAAATCATTTTTTTTATTTTGTTTTTCTTTTGTCGATCATGAATAATAATATGGAAAAAAGAAAATGTTGATTGAAGTTTACTACGGCAATGCTTGTGTTTTACTTGTCAATGGAAACTGTCGAGTAAATTAGTTTTTTTTTTGTTTTTATTTTAAATAACCTTGTTTAATTTTTTTTTGTTGATTAGCCAATACATTTAATAAATTATATTCGAACTCATTGTTGTTTATCATCATCATTGAAATTCGATTTATGTTTATTAAATACTGGAGAACCATTTCATCTTTCATCATTGGATTCAAAATTTATTTCATCTGAACGACGTCGTTTTCCATCACATGTTCGTTGTGTATTAACGCAAATTGATGGTAACTTATTTATTAGATTTCTTTTTTTTTATAATAAGAAATAACAAAACAATCATTTTTTATTTTAGAAGAAGGAACATATATTCCTTTATTAAATGACTCAACATTAATAACAAATGAATTTTTATCGAAACTAAGAAGAGCAACAGGTGCAAAAGTTACATCAAAAATAGTTTCAAAATCAGGAAAACAATCAACAAATTCACCAGATGGTGAAGAAAAAAGACGTCGAACTCTTAAATCATTAGTTATTGCTGCTTCTGTTATGAGCAAAAATAATCATTAAATAAGAGATAATCAATCAAAATAATTTTCAAATAAAATACTTATCTTTAACTTCAATTATTCATCTTTTTGTAAAACTCAATCTAAAAGAAAGGTTGAAATATATGGGTAACACAATTTGGACTTGTTTCTTTCTTCATCACATACCATGAGAGATGTTATTGAGATTATGATCAAAGATCGTACATCAATAACGCCTCATTTCAATCTATTAACTATTTCCTTATTGCATTTTTGAAGGATTAAGTAAAATGATGATGAAGAAACGTGTCTCGATATAATAGAATAATATAATCTCCCTGTGATTAATAATAGTAGCCGCATTGTGTTTCACATTTTAATCTCACAGAGATTGTTCTACGAGCTTTTCCATTGAAAATATGTTCTTAAAATGGGAAATTTCATCAAATGATAATCAAAATGATTAATGCATTGCACATAATCATCTATGTGCTGTAAGTCTGAATAAAGTTGATATCACAAAATATGAAAGAAAAGGAAATCACTATCTTTTCTGTAAGATTATCATTAAGATTTTAATTGAATGTGTCTCTCCTTCGTTGTAACGTTGCAAACTTAACTTTCAAGGTCGAAATTAATGATGTTTCTATTTATTTTTAAACGACAACTCACTTGTAACCAATCTTGACTTTCACGTTTCAGATTTGATAAAAGTTTGATTGAAAATTATATACTTGATGGAGAAGATTAAGAATTGAATGACAAGAAGTATTTTCAATGAAGATTTCACTAAGAAATTACTTTCAAAAATTTAATGTTCAAATGTTGTTAAAGGATTAAAAACCAAAACATATAAAGTTTATTTTATATGGAAAAATCATTAAAATCATCCATAAGTACATAGTGTCTTGTATTGAAGTGTAATTGTCATTTCATGTTGAGAAAAAAAAACGAACAAAAAAGTAGTTTTTGTTCAATTTTTATTTCTTGGCTAGCAAATATGTGTGGTAATAGGTGCATCAGTATCTTAGGTTGTGGTAACATGAGTTTTGCACATGCACACCATTTATTCTGATGCAGTTTTACTGTAGTAATATGCAGTCATTGTTCAGACAACCAAAAACGAGACAATATTTGAAATAGTCTCAATTGTTAAATATATTCATCGTTCGCCTGTTATCTTTTGTTGCCATTCATCTGGAATACTATATCGATACTATTGTATTGCATATCGAACACATACCATCATTGTCAAGTAAGCGTGTGGATTAAAATAAGAAGCATATTCACACCCAATATCTTGTTTGCCGGATTCCAATGCTATCCTTAGCGTTTTATTCATAGTGTGGCGAAATCTATCGATGATATTCTTCTTCGACATGTACACGATTCTGCTCAAGTGCAGTTAATGGTTCTCTTTTCCAATTCAGCCAGTTGCACACACAAACCTTCAAATATGCGATCGTTTTCTTAATCAAATCCAGAATTTAGAAGCAGTTTAGGTACAAGCTATAATTTGTAGCTCCTATAGAATGATTGTTTTACCTTTTCTTGATTTTTGAATCTGTCTCTTTCGCTCCTCTCTCAAATCACTGTGACGTTATCAGAGCAGTTTCTAATGGATTATCGAGTGTTCTGTTAGCATGTTTCTAAGGCATTTTAAAGCGCAAAATAGATTTAAAGAAACAAATGCGAAAAACACCAAAATGATTGATTGCTAGTAATACGCATGCGTTTTTTTCTGATTCCTGTGCAAACTAGCATGAGCACACAAAACTGATTTGTACAGTTATTAATTTGAACCCATCATTACGAAATATGTACTGTTTGCGTAGTAAGTGCTATTATATATATTATTTAGTAAAAAGAATATATATCAAAACTCAAGAACATAATTTATTGTTCAGTAATTGTTTGATAGCTACAGAAAACCAACATATTTTCCAAATGAAAATAATATGCAATCAAATTTATTGTGTACTATTTAAAAAGTAAGATATGTTGAATAATTTGAATTATTAATAAGGTGTTGTTCCTCTTTACATCATCTCGTTGAGATCATTAAACTGTTTAAGAGGTCTTTTTTTCTTTGATAATAGCGTCGATTATTTCGAAAAATTGAAGATTTCTCGGAGCAATCGCCAGCGTGCTAAAATCGAGTTGATTGAATACATAAGCAAATGCTAAGTGTAGTGAAAGTGATGCATAGGCAAGACTGCCACCAAAGCCTAAAAATGAAAAGAAAAGTAATAGATTATTGGATTACATGTGATTGATTCAATCATCAATTCACTTCTTCCAGTTATTGATGTTGATTGAATGCAATATTTTGCTTTCTTGATAAAAAACTGTGAGTCCTGTTTTTTAGTTTAGTAAAGAAAAATGTATCGAATATGCTTTGGAAAGTTTCAAAATCAAATGAGAGATACTTGTAAAGTTATGCGTTTCTTGAAATCTTACCATGGTGACCGAATCCATCTTCGCCCAAAACGTTAAAAAAATCACTATGTAATCCAAATCCTCCCCTTGAAAATTTTGTTGTCAAGCCAAAAAGAATTTGGTCATGCTCGTTTGCTGGTGTTACATTCTTTGTAGCCAATTTCAAAGTTTTCTTGCTCAAAAGACATGCTGTCTTGTTACCATTTTCATTAACATCACCAATGAGCAACGCGTAAATTCGTGCTAGTGAATGAGCATT